CAATGGTGTTCGAATGATACCCATGGCATAGACACTGTATCTCGAGTACCCACACAACCATTCTGTTTTTCACTTTCAGTACAGTAGTTAACAAATTCCGTGTGGCAGCCACCACTTTATTATAAAATAGGTTTTGTGTTAGATGACTTTGCCCAACTGTAGGCTATTGTGAATGTCCTGAGCATGTGTGAGGTCGCAAGACGAAGCTACAATGTTTGGTTGGTTAGGTGTATTAAATGCATTTTCACTGGGTGTGGTGGCTCAAGCCTGTAATCCCAGCACTTTGGGAGGCTGAGATGAGAGGATTGCCTGAGCTCAGGGGTTCGAGACCAGCTTGGGCAACTTGGTAAGATCTCGTCTCTACAATAAATAAAAAAATAAGCCGGGCATGGTAGCAGCACGCCTGTAGTTCCAGCTACTTCAAAGGCTGAGGAAGAAGGATTGTCCGAGCCCAGAGGGTTGAGGCTACAGTGGCCTGAGAGTGGCACTGCACTCTAGCCTGGGTGACAGAGTGAGATTCCAATTTTTAAAAAAATGCATTTTTGACTCATGAGATTTTTCAACTTACAGGTGTATTGGGAAGTCACCCCATTGTAAGTTGAGGAGCATCTGTGCTCAGCTCTGCTGCTGTATGGTGAAAGCAGCCAGGGATAATATGTACATGAATGAGCATGGCTGTGTTCCAATAAAACTTTATTTATAAAAACTGGTGGTGGGCTGGATTTGCCGACCCTTGGTCTAGTGGAAGACAGGCTGGGTTCTGAAGCCTCCTTCACAGAGTCCCTGAGTTATCCCTTTTGTAAATGGAGAGGTGGAATCTCTGCTCTCAGCCACCATTCAGGGTTGCAAGGAGGTCTTATGAGCTCATCACTGAGGGAACCCGAAGGGAAAAAAAAGTAGGATTAGGAGCCTCTTGAGGCTCTCTGACGTGAAGCAGATTGTTATTTCTGCCCAGGCCTGGAGAGAGAAAGCCATTGATCCTAAGTCACCCAGTGCATCCATGGACACCAGCATCCCACGGGCATCCCAGAGGGAGACAGGACCCACAGGCTTGGCAACAGATCCTGGTCCTTGCCTCGTGGAGGCCTTCCCCACCCCCCATCTGCGGAGAGAGAGCAATGGTGAAAGACACTGGAAACATGAGTCTCTACTAGGCTGTTCCTCTGAGATCTCGGCCAGGAGCTCCCTGCTTGGACTACTCTACTGAGCAGCCAGTGCCTGGGGCAGTGATGTGCTGTCTAACCACCAACCTTTGCTCACAAGGCCTGAGTCGGGCTGGATCATCTAAGCCACGCTGGGTGGGTAACTCCAGTGTCAATCATTTGGGGACGAACTGGGTCTGCCTGCAGAGAACAAAGTGGAACTGAGGGTGAGCCTGAGGCAGCTGGGGGTGGGGTCTCCTTTCCCTGTGCCTTGTGGCTTTGGTATAGACTTCTGGGAGTGCAGATTTACTTAAGGATAATAACTGTCGTAGTAATAAACCTAACAGCTTATGTTTTGGCCATTGCCTTACTAGACTCTGGTGTGTCCATGTGCTCTCTGAGGTATGGCTGTTGCTATGTTTCCTGGCTCTGGCCCACTCCCCTACCTTGGGGAGGTGAATCTCCTCTTTCTTTCTTTTATTTTATTTTATTTGAGTTGGAGTCTCAGTCTGTTGCCCAGACTGGAGTGCAGTGGCCACTCCCGGCCACCGCAGCCTCGACCTGCTGGGCTCTGGCGATCCTTCCACCTCAGCCTTCCGAGTAGCCGGAATTACAGGCGCGCGCTACCATGCCCGGCTAATTTTTTTATTTTATTGTAGAGATGAGGTCTCGCCTGCCCAGGCAGGTCTCGAACCCGCGGGCTCAGGCAATCCACTCACCTCAGCCTCCCAAAGGCGCAGGATTACAGGCTGAGCCCCTGAGCCCGGCGAATCTCCTCTTTCTAATTTTCTTTCTAGATAAACTATATTTTCTAATCTAATCTAAAACAAAACAAAAACACAGCTAACATTTGAGATTGCGCCAGGGTCTGTCCTGAGCACTTTATGTATATTAATTAATTTATAATTTAATACAACCCTAATAAGGACTATTATTCTCCCCATTATACAGATGAAGAAATGAGATCCAGAGAGGTTAAGATACTTGGCTAAGGTCACCCAGTTCTGGAGTGGTGGAGACCTGGATGCCGAGGATTATAGAAGAGGCTGCCTCAGACCATACTATCCTGTTTATTTCCTTGTCCTCAGGTGTGAAACTTCCAAGTCCTTGTCAAATGGGAGCATTAAAAAGGGAGCAGTGGCTGGGCACGGTGGCTCACGCCTATAATCCCAACACTTTGGGAGGCTGAGGCAAGAGGACTGCCTGAGCCCACAGGTTCGAGACCAGCCTGGGCAAGTTGGCCAGATCGCATCTCTACAATAAAAATAAAAAAATCAGCTCGCCGTGGTGGCTGGTGCCTGTAGTTCCAGCTACTTGAAAGGCTGAGGAGGAAGGATCACCTGAGCCCAGCAGGTCGAGGCTGCCATAGCCATGAGCATGCCACTGTATTCCATCCTGGTCTATAGCGACTCCAGCTCAAAAAAAAAAAAAAAAAAAAAAAGGAAGCAACACTCACCATCTCTGAACCCTTCCGGGGCTATCTTCACTGTCAAGCAGGCCTCTCTCCACTGGGAGCAAAGATGGCTCAGCAGCTCCAGGTGAACTACTGCGGCACATGCTCCCCCGGGAACTCTTCCCCACCAGTTCCAGCAGAAATCCCAAGGCTGACTCTCATTGGGCCATCTTGGGTCATGTGCTCATCTCTGAACCAACTGCAGTAGCCAGGGGCTGGGAACATGCTGATTGGACCAGACTGGGTCACATGGCAACCCTGGCATGGTGCCAACACAGTGAGGCAGGCGACCCCTACGGGAAGATGAGGGGTCTGCAACTGGATAGACAAGGTAAGGGGATGCCTACTATGAGCCTCTGGAAGAAAAGAGCATTCCTTGGAAGTTAGATTTGGCCTTCAGGGTTTATCTTCCATCCTCGGTCCCACCACAGCCCTCCATGACACTTGTTGGCTCGGCATGGACTGGAACCTGAACCTGAGCCTTCTCTGCCTGCCTCCCCAGCCCACCTGCCTCCTGCCCATCCTACCTGTCTGCAGTACTGACTGCCTTCACATCACCTGGGAGCACACGGGACCTCTTATCAACTGCTGGCCTCTTACTTGACCTATCATCCCAGATCCCTAGTTGCCCTTCCCCGACCCTGTCTGGTCTTTTCCAATCCGTCCTATTCACTGGCGACACGTCCCTAGTCCAGCGAGCTCTGGCTCAGGATCCTCGGTCCTTCGTGACAACAAGGAAAATCAAGCTGCTTAGCCCCCTGCCTGGGGTTCCACAGTCCTACGAGCTTCCCTGACCCCCACCATCAAAATGTGTGTGTCCCCTAACTCCGAACTGTGTGGGGACATCTTTCTGAATGCACCGGGCTCACTGACTTCCTTAGGGGAAAGGGTCCAGTTTGAGTCATAGCTGCCTAGAGCCCAACACACAATGGTGCTCGATGAAGGTCTGTAAGGCCTGTTTCCAGCTCTGTGCTGCTCCTTGAGGAAGGGAGATGGGACAGGTCAGACAGCTCCACAGAGACACAAAGTAACACAGAATGACTGAGAGACAGAGACCAAGGGGGGTGGAGACAAGGGATGCAGAAAGGGCAAGAGCCTTAGGGACAAGGAAGGGACACTGATCCAGAGAGAGAAAACCAGGGAACAGACAGAGAAGACGAAAGGGAGGGTGTGAGCGTGTGCCAGCAAAGGCATTTATCCGTTTAGACAAACAAGGCCCCTGTGATTTGTGTTTTGTCAGGCCGAACTTTCCGTATCAGTTTATTTAGCTGAGCAACCAATTCTGGTAAAAACACTGGAACATGTTAAAAAAGAACGAGGAGGGGAGGAGTCAGACAAAACAAAAAGGAGAGAACATATACCTCCAGGTCGGTCCACGCAGTGAGTCTGACACAATATTCCCCCCAGTCCAGCCCCTTTTAGGGGCTGACCCAGGGCTGGGTGAGACTGGAGACAGGGGAGATAGTCACCTCAGTGGGGTGGGAGTCTGAACTGAGAGGGAGAAGCCCTGGGAATGTTCTGGTCCTAGCCTGACCATAGTCACTAGAGGCCATGTTAAATCAAGACAAGGTTGCAATCTACCTGTGCGCTGAACCCCAAATCCCACCATGGGCAGAGCACCCCAAAGTTGAATCTATAAACATGCCTTTGCCGGAACCCAGTCCTGGAGGAAGGATGAACAGATGTGGCTGTTAGGTCTCAAACTCCTTGGCTCAAGCAATCCACCTGTCTTGGCCTCCCAAAGTGCTGAGATTATAGGTGTGAGCCACCGCACCTGGCGGGTGTAACTCTTAAACTGAGGCCTTGAGAGGACATGAGAACTGGGCAAGGGACAATTCTGCTGTTTCCTCACCTGCATGAGGTAGCTGGTAACACTTGCTCACAGAAAGGAGTGACTAGTGGCTTGCCTGGCATCTAGCTGGTGCTTAATAATGCCAGCTCTTATGACTGTGGAAGGGAATAGTCCCTGTGTGCAAGGAGCTCACTGTACCCTGCAGAGTTAGGGACACACAGCCATGCAGAAGAGGTCAGAGCAGCCAGCAAGAAGTGTCCTCACCATCAAGCTGATTGTACTTTTTTTTTTTTTTTAATTGGAGCATCATTCTGTTGCCCAGGATGGAGTGCAGTGGCACACTCATGGCCACTGCAGCCTCCACCTGCTGGGCTCAGGTGATCCTTTTGCCTCAGCTTTCCTAGTAGCTGGAACTATAGGCGCCATTATCATGCCTGCCTAATTTTTTGATTTATCGTAGAGACAAGGTCTTGCCATGTTGCCCAGGCTGGTCTCAAACCCCTGGGCTGAGGCAGTCCTCTCACCTCAGCCTCTCAAAGTACTGGAATTACAGGCTTCAGCCACCATGCCTGGCCGATTTTACTCTTTAATTCAATGCAACACAACTATAGGGTTCATGATTCGATTTTTTTTTATTTATTTTCTGAAATGGAACCATTGTACATTGTACAAACCATATCTACTGATGGAATAAATAAGTGAAAAATTATACTGCTGTACAACACACCAAAAAAAATTGTAGGAGGAAAAAAACAAACTCGGTAACGGTGAAAAACGGTCTTTATGCCTCTAACCAGGTCCTCGGCGATAATGAACATTCCAAACCATGACACCGTTTGAAAATGGGAGGTCACCACCCTCTAGGAGTCGGTCAACAGCCTTCCAGGTTGTGGGTGTAAGTGCCAGCACTTTGTGGAATGTGTAGCCGCAGCTTCCCCGACTTCAAGTTTTGGGGGAAATTGAGTTTGCCCCGGGAGCCCTTTAGGCCGCGGGGCCTGATGTTCTCAGAAGGCTTTTGTGTGGGACACCCCCACCCCTGGTTCGCAGCTAAAAGGTCTTAGATTCTGTGGGGGTGGGGGGAAGCCCAGGGGTACAGGTGGGTGGGGGGCAGTGGCTCCAAGGAGCAGACTGCATCAGGGAAGGAAGCACATCGATTTTTGCAGTCTCGCCGTTCCATGTGGAAGGCCTTGGCCAGCGTGGAGTGCAGGGCTGCTGGCGTGTTGCCTGGCGTGGCCATGGCGGGGCCCAGTGGGTCCCAGCCGCCGGCCCATTCCTACCTTCAGGCACTTCAGAGAAAAACTAGTGACAGCCTTGGTACTGTGGATGTCGTGTTCGTCCTCAATTGTGTCAGTTGCCCTCGCCTGTCCAGAGAGGCCGCTGCAGACAGGAGGGCCACCTGCGCCTCTCTGTTTCCGTGGATGTGTGTGTTTGATTCTCCTTCAGCCGTCTTGGTTGTAACCTCTCGTTTCCCAAAGAAAGGAAAGGAAATAAATATCCAAATTCATCTGTCATCAAAATGGAGTTTCGCTGCAAAGAAAAACGTGACTTGAACTCTTACAGGATCTGGAGGTAAAGTCACCTGCAGACGCGTGGAGGGGTCACGCATCTGGGTGCTTCTGCGTCAGGGCGCAGAACACAGTTCTCAACAAAACTGACTGCCTGAGGGGCAAAACTGAGAAGTACAAGGATTTTGTTTTTTTTTTTAAGACAGAAACCTTCCGGCATTGCTAACTTCAACATTAAGATTTTCAAAGTTTTTTTTTTTTTTCCCTTATTTCAGGAGACATTTTGCATGAGGTATTTGAAATTCAGGAACATTTTGATTCTTCTTGAAGTGCAGGAAATAGGCTCCCTTAAAAAAAAAAAAAACAAGAGCCTCACCCTCAGAAACTCTTAGAAAATGGAATCTGGCAGACACTTCCCATGGTGGTCAGGAGAAAGATCCACACATCAAAGGGGGTACCTGAATATGCACCAATTAGCCAAAAAAAACCCCAATAAAACCCACCAACCCTCCCCCCCAATAACATACAACTCAAAGGGAGTCAGAACTCCAGTGCAGTAAAGAAAGCTTAGGAAAAGGTTTAAGGTCTGAGGAGTCTGTATATTAATTAAGAGCAAACCAGACCTCAGAACCAAACGATTAGGCAGTTCGTCCAAGGGGCATCTCCGTTCAGTGAGATGGTGCAGGTGCGGGCTGGAGGGGAGGTTGCGTCGCTCCTTTCTGGAGGGTGTGCAAATCTTTCCAATTCCTTGGCGCCTTGTTCCTGGCCTTCAAGGCCCAGCCATCAAGGCCCACTCCCGGGTGGGGATCGATGGCACACGTTTTAGGAATGAGACACGATTCAGCTGTTCGCTCTGAGAGTCAGAACATGATGCAAAAGCAGGTGGGTTTAGACCGGCTGCAATCTTGCCTCTCTAGGGCACAGGCCGGGACGCGGTGATTGCAGGGAGGCAGAGGGCAGCAGTTTACCGTGGATTTGAAATCCAAGCAACGTCCTGTGAGAGAAAGTTCAGCACCAGCTATGCCTGCCGCCTGCTCCCAGCCTCCCCAGCCCTGTTGGTGTCTTAAGGAGACAGTCTGGCAGGCAGCTAGAGAAGCCATCTTTGTCTTCGGAGGTCTAGGAGAAAGCGGCGGTGGAGGTGGTGGGGGCAGTTGAGTGGACGTGCCAGAAAAATCCCAGGGCTTTACATGTCCCTCCAGGTTGCTGTGGGCTTAGAAACACCAAGCCTTCAACGCCCCGAGGAACGGAGGGCATAGCAAGTGCCCTGCCTGGGCCAAAACGGCCAAGCGCTGGGGGCTGACACCTGCAATTCCTCGGGCCCCAGAGGCTGGTGCTGACCCCACCCAGGGCCCCTGCACCTAGAAATCAGGTGAGCCAAGGCATGCCCCGCTCCACCCTGTCTGCTCCAATGAAGTCCTCGGGCAGGGAAGACAGCGGTGAGCGAGGTGGCCGTCACCGCCCGAGCAAAACCAAGAGGGCACTTTGCACAGGGAGATGCAAAACAACCAGGAGACATGCCAGAGGTCACCTCAAGGGCACAAGGCACACAAAAAGAAAGCAGAAGGAATCGGTTGAACAGTGAGAAGCCCCGATGAAAAGCAGATTCCTGATCGGTACCACCCTCAAGTAGCTTATATCGTTAAATAGAGAAGTGGAAAAAAAAATACAGCAGCAACACAAATGTGAGCTTGGCTTCCGAGACAGTGTGCAGACACTCCTGAGCTGTGGACCCCGCCTCCCCACGGACACACACTCAAAGGTCCGAGTGTTTTGCTTCACAGCAGAGAGTTCTTCAGTGTCTGAGAAGTTACGCAGTTCTAGGTGTTCTTGGATTTGCACTTGGTAAACTTGAAACGTTAGTAGTTCTGCTCGCACCCGAGAGGAATCGCTCGGGCAAAGTTGTTCTAGAATTAATTGCTGATGTACCTTCCATGAGACATGGATCGGAGGGTTTCACTTACTGTCTACATCTCTTCGGAGTTTTGTTGAGAGGCCTCCAGTTTCATCTTTTTAGAGGGTGGCACTCCTTCCAAATCCTTGGGGGAAGAAGGAAGACAAGAGAAACAAAGGTTAATACCCCAGGGGAGCCATTCAGACCGGGCATGAGGGTGAAGGTGGGCTCAGGGACCGAGGGAGGGGGCCGTGCGCTTCAGACCAGCAGTTCCAACCCGAGGCCCAAGCACGGACATCAGGCGGATGGCCTATGGAGAACTTCATACCTGAACACCTGGAGTCTCCAGGGCCCTGGGCCGCCTGGCCCCTGCCTGGCCCCGCTGGTGCCAGTGGTGCTGTCAGCTAGAGCAACTTCCCACACCACCCCCTGGGCCTCCAGGTCCTCCTGGCCCCTTCACCTGCCCAGGCTGGCCCAGGTTTCCCTGTTATCGGTCTCCCCATCTGTAATTCGTTACGAGGGTGATTATTTGTGCTCAAGTTTCAAGTTCACCTCCCGAAGCTCTGAGGCCATGGTGACTTAGTTCCTCTAGGGCTTGGCACAGGCGCCTGGCCTAGGTCAGCCTTGGCCCTTGTTGAAGGTACCCATGGAGGTTATTCTAGGGGGAACGGGTCTGCAGTTGTCACCAAATTCCCAAGAAGCCTCATGACCCCCAAAACGTCCAGCACTTACTCACTCACTCACGCATCACCTGTGACCCGAGACCGGATGCTGATCGAGCCTGGATGCTGACTGAAGCGGTTCTCACGGGTGTTCCCCATCATACTGGGAGAAAGCCCAGGTGTGGATGGCACCCCGCAGTCCCGCCCTCCACCTATGCCCCCACACCTGAGCCACCGTCACCTCTTGCCTAGCTGGAGCTGTGGCCTCCCTGTGGCCTCCAATATGGCCTGACAATCTCCGTAAAATAGAAACCGTGCACAAAATGCAACGCCCTCCGACACTTTCCCCACCGACCTCAAAACAGAACCCAAGCCCCGCCCACTACCTCCAGCCACCCTGGCCTCCCTTTTGTTCCTCAGGTTGGCTCCCGTCTCAAGGCTCCTGCATGCCTTGGGCGGCCCTTGCGTAGACAGCCCGCCTTCCCGGCCCTGGGCACTTCACCCCCAAAGGCGGGCACACAACTCTTGCCTCTGCCAGTGCCAGCCAGGATGCCCTCATCCCGGCCTGTTCTGTTTTTTCAAGTCACCCTGTCCCACTCTCTCACGGCACTTAGTGTGGCTCTGTGATCTGTTTGTGTCTGCTATATCCCGGCAGCGCCTCAGACTCCCAGATCTGCTGTCACCCCCACACAGCAGGGAGGGACCTGTCGAGGCCTGCATGTAGCATGTGCAGAGAAGGCTACGTGAGCTCCCCCCAGGGAACCCTCACGGGGACTCAGGAAGGCCTGCTCTTCTTTCCTCTCTCTCCCTTTGTCTTATTTTATTTTACTTATTTAAAAACTATTTTTATTGATTAAAAAAAATTTTGGTTGGGCTTGGTGGCTCAGCCTGTAATCCTGCGCTTTGGGAGGCTGAGGTGAGTGGATTGCCTGAGCTCAGTAGGTCGGGGCTACGGTGGCCAGGAGCGTACCACTGCCCTCCAGCCTGGGCAACGGCGTGAGACTCTGACTCAAAACAAAACAAAAAACTCCCAAAAAAACTTTTTTTTTTTTTTGGGTAGAGACAAGATCTCTCTGTTGTTTAGGTCGGTCTCAAGCTCCTGGCCTCAAGCGATCCTCCTGCTTCGGCCTCCCAAAAGTGTTGGGATTATAGGTGTGAGCCCCACTGTGCCTGGCTGTGTTTTTATTTATTTATGCATTTATTTATCTTTAGAGGCTTGCTCTGTTGCCCAGGCTGGAGTGCAATGGGACGATTATAGCACACTGTAACTTCAAACTCCTGGTCTTAAGCCATCCTCCTGCTTCAGCCTTCCTAGTAGCTAGGATACAGGCAAGTGTCACTGCACCCAGCTATTTGTAAAGACAGGATCTTACTATGTTGCCCAGGCTGGTCTTGAACTCCTGGCCTCAAGCGATTCTCTAACCTCAGCTTCCCAAAGCACTGGGATTATAGGCATGAGCTACTGTTCCTGGCCCTTTCTCCTTATTTATTATTTAATTCTGAGTCAGGGTCTCTCTCTGGGACGCAGGCTGGAGTGCAGTGGCAAGGTCACGGCTCACTGCAGCCTCTACCTCCTGAGCTCGGATGATCCTTCAGCCTTAGCCTCCTCAAGTGTTGGGATTACAGGTGTGAGCCACTGCACCCAGCCTTACTCTAGAAATAGCTTGAGAAATTAATAATAAAAGAGAAGTTAGTGTAAATGTTTATAATTTAGAGAAATTTTCCTGATATTGGGGTCAGGGCAGGGTGGATGGCATAAAGAATACGTATGTGGGCCGGGCGCAGTAGCTCAAGCCTGTAATCTCGCACTTCGGGAGGCTGAGGTGAGGGGACTGCCTGAGCCCACAGGTTTGAGAGCAGCCTGAGCAATTTGGTGAGAACTCATTTCTACAATAAATCAAAAAATTATCTTGGCTCGGTAGTGCGTGCCTGTAGTTCTGGCTACTTGGAAGGCTGAGGCGGAAGGATCATCTGAACCCAGCAGGTCGACGCTGGGGTGGTGTGAGCATGCCACTGCACTCCAGCCTGGACAACGGAGTGAGATGCCAATTCAAAAAAAACAATAACCAACCCCCACCCAAACTCCAAGAATATGTACATATTTCTCTCTCTCTCTCTCTCTCTCTGGACTCAGAGTCTTACTCCGTCACCCAGGATGGAATGCAGTGGCATGCTCACGGCCACAGCACCATCAACCTGCTGGGCTCAGGTGATCCTTCCACCTCAGCCTTCCGAGTAGCTTTAACTGCAGGTGTGTTCCACCACGCCTGCCTAATTTTTCTTGATTTATTGTTTAGAGGAGGTCTTGCCAAGTTGCCCAGGCTGGTCTCAAACCTGTGGGCTCAGGCAATCTTCTTGCCTCTGCCTCCCAAAGTGCTGGGATGATAGGTGTGAGCCACCGTGCCTAGCACATATGTATTTCAAGGTCAGCTTGTTTGTATCACTGGAATGTGGTCTCCACCTTGCTCACACACCCGGCTCTGTAGGGCAGCGTATGTGTCGGTGCGTGCGTGAAAATGGTGACAGAGGCTCAACTCCAGGTCTAGGTCCCTGGGCAGCAGGAGCGAGGGTGGGGGTGGGGGAATGGGAGACCCCTGGCTTTTTCAGACATCAGGGGAGAGCATCCGATGCTCCCAGGGTATGGATCAAAGTTTCAAGCTGACCTTTTCTCCACTGAGCTCAAGAGGCCAGGAGACCCCGGCTGACATCCTGGTGTCTCACGCTGGGCATCAGGCTTTGATTTTTATTGTTTTTAGCCAAATAGACGCATGCTGTGCCAGCAGTTCTCCTAACTGCTTGTCTCATTTCAAGCTGCAAGAATATTTATCGCTACCTGGAAGGGCCAACCGCACTCAGCAGTACACGCACAATGGCCTGTTCATACCTGACCCCAGGTTTTTTGACCCTACCCTTCGAGTGGAGGCTGTGGCTGACTTCCCACCGCTGCAAATCCATCTCTGCTCCACGCCCCCTCTGTGTTCGTGCACATGGAGAGAGGCTAGGGAAGGAGGCTCCCGGAAAGGGAGCTGACGAGCAGAGGGTCTGAAGATTTTGGAGTTGAGGGCCACTTGACCCTGGGGAAGGCCTGTTTTCAGGCTCCGTAACATGACCTGCTGCAACTCGCCTCTTCTCTGCTCCTACGTGACCTGCTGTCAGTTTCTCTTGAGGCACCAGAAAACACTCAGCCAAGTGGAGAATGTTTTGTTTTAGTTGACATTTTGTGACCCCTGAGTTCCCGCTGCCCCTGTCAAGGCAGGTCTGCAGGGCTTCTGGTGAAAGTCCTCACAGCGGCTTCTGCATCTTCTGGGTCTGGCTCATGCCAAGCGTTTTGCCCACGTTCTCTCATCTCATCCTCCCCGTGGCCCCAAGACCCTTTTGTAATCTCCTTTTGGCAGCTGGAAAGACTGAGGCTCAAGGAAGTTAACTGCCCAGCACCAAGCAGCAGAGCTGGGATTCAAGCCCAAGGCTGACATTGGGAGGTTTGCTTCCAACTGCCAGGCGCCCTGTACTGACTCATTTAGACCAGGCTTGGAAACACAACCCAGAAAGGGGCTCCAGCAGGGGGATGAGGGTCAGTTGCACAATTCCTGGGATGACCCACCATTTAGGTTTCTGTGGACTTGACTTTGCAGCTGTAAAAGATGGTGACTTTGAGTCATGGAGACAAGGCAATGCTTATGTGAAACCAAAGAGACAAAACGACGAAGCTGAGGCTGGGATAGAGGTCCCTTCATTCCCCTTACCCAAGGCTCCCCAAGGGCAGGGATCACACATCTCATCTGTCCCTGAGGCCCCAGCACACACAAGGCAGGATACAGGACAACATTCACGGACATTGCTTGATGGATAAAATGACAGTTCCAATTGTTCAACGAAAAAACAACAAAATAAAAGAAAACAAGACACCTGTCAACGTACCCCCGACAACCCAATGGGCTCTCGGCCGATCTGGCTGCCCCTCTGAGACCTCGATCGAGGTACCTGAGAGATCGCCGACGTCTCTGTGGCCAGACCCACGTCTCCAGACGGCTGCCGCTCTACCTTCTCTGAACTGTTCATTGAGTGTTCCATCGAAGACTGTGAGTTCTGCTCGTCAGAAGCGTCTGAGGGAAGAGCAAGACGACAGAAGCTATTTTCAGACACGTGAGACTAAAAACAATAAAAACATCTGGAACTGGGGAGTGTTGTGGCCGCGGTCTTTGAAGGCTGCAGAGGGCTGGGGGAGTTGGGGAAGCCTCTTGTTTATTTTTTCGTGATGCTGCTTTCAGCAGTCAGGCCGCATGCTGGCCCCGGGGTCACCCACACTCTCCTGCACAGTTCTTAGCGGCCAAGGGCCTCCAGAGGCAATGGAAGGATGCTGCAGCCTCCGTGCTGCGTGCAACTAGCGCCCCCTGGTGGCCATAACGCACACGACAATCATGGCTGTCGGTTCCTCTCTCCCCGTAGCCAAGGCGGCTTCAGCCTCTTTCTTTCAAGAGCCTGCGTTCTCCTCCTGGGGAACATCAGAGGTAACTGACCCTTTGTAAACATTTCTCTTGATTATATGGGCATTTTTCTGATTGCCAGAGCCATGACTGATCATTGCAGAAAACATCACAGAAAACAAAATGAAGTTAAAATCACCTGTCACTCACGCTACCCAGAGACCACCCACTAATGCATTAGAGGATTCACTCCCAGTTCTGCAGGTTTCCTTCCCTTACATGCATATTATTTTCTCCTCACCCCAATGGGGATAACACATTATTTGGAATAATTTTTCATGTCTTTAAAAGTCCCCTAAATACCAGAGCTTATAAGATGGCTGCACAGTATTCTACAAGCAATTGCCTAGCTACTGAATCCAGCTATTTGGATGATTGCTCATGTCTCGGTTTCCCTTCTGCTTCACCTCAAGCTTCTTCAGCAGAAAGAAGGTGCAGGCTGGATGTGGGGTGCAGTTTGGGAGGGGGAGGAAATGGTGCCAGAAGTTTTACCTAAAGCTTACCAGGCACAGAGACAGAGCCTCACAGGGGGAGCAACAAAGTCCTGCCCAGGGTCCTGCTCTGTTGCAGGCAAGTTTCCTGATTTTGAAAGCACCCTGGCTGGGTGCGGTGGCTCACACCTGAAATCACAGCACTTTGGGAGACCAAGGTGAGAGGACGGCCTGAGCTTTCGAGTTTGAGACCAGCCTGGGCAACATGGCGAGACCTTGTCTCTGCCATAAATAAAAAAATTAGCCGGGTGTGGTGGCACACGCCCGTCGTTCCAGCTACTTGGAAGGATCACCTGAGCCCAGCAGGTTGAGGCGGTGGTGGCTGTGAGCGTGCCACTGCACTCCAGCTTGGGTGACAGAGTGAGACTCCAACTCCAACTCCAAAGAAAAGAAAAAAAAAGAAAAGAAAGCACACTGAACAAATACTCAAGAATGCCTAAGCAACTAGGACTGACTTTCTGGGGTTTCTGAGGCAGAGAAATAACAAGGGGGAAAAACATTCAGGCTTCAGTGGAGAAGCAAGCAAGTCACATGGGAAAGTAGGGGAAGAGTCAGCAGTCCTCCAGGGCCTGGGACAGGATGGGGCACAGAGGGCGCAGAAACAGACCTGCAGGGGCCTCCTTCCCGGGGAGGCTGACCAGGGTTGAGGGCTGCTGTTCGCAAACACTTCTTACTCCTCAAACCAGGAGCCCTGATAGCTCTTGGTTGTTCCAGGAGCCCTGGTACTAGCCAAGGGTCAAGGGCAGGCTTCTCGTTGCCACAGGGAGGGGGTCAGGGATCCACCCTCACCAGGTCCAGGCTCTGCCTACAGCCTGGTATGTGGAAGACACAGGGTTTGGAGGAGACTTGGGTCCGAACACTGCCCATACCGCCTCTGCTGCTTGCTTCTTAGGGGACGCAGGCTCTGGACAAGAGCCACCCTGGTGAGGGGCTGTGAGGATCACATGGAGTGACACAAAGAACACCCATCAGCAGAACAACCCCAGGTGGGAGGAGCTGAGGGATTATTCAGGGCCTAGCATCAAACTCTCCATAAACTTGAAATTTCTTTGGTCTTTAGTTTCATTTTTTTTTTAAATTGGAGTCTCACTCTGTTGCCCAGGCTGGAGTGCAGTGGCACGCTCACAGCCACTGCAGCCTCCGCCTGCTGGGCCTAGGCAATCCTTCTGCCTCAGCCTTCCAAGTAGCTGGAACCACAGGCGTGTGCCATCATGCTCAGCTAATTTTTTTTTTTTTTTTGAGTTGGAGTCTCACTCTATCGCCCAGACTGGAGTGCAGTGGCCGCTTCGGGCCACTGCAGCCTCGCCTGCTGGGCTCCGGAAATCCTTCCGCCTCAGCCTTCCAAGTAGCCAGAATCACAGGCACGCGCTGCCACGCCCGGCTAAGTTTTTGATTTATTGTAGAGATGAGGTCTTGCTGCCCAGGTGCGTCTCAAACCCGCGGGCTCAGGCAATCCACTCACCTCAGCCTCCCAAAGGCACGGGATTACAGGCTGAGCCACCGAGCCTGGCTTCAGCTAATTTTTTGATTTATTGTAGAGATGAGGTCTCATCAAGTTGCCCAGGCTGATCTCTAACCCGTGGACTCAGGCAACCCTCTCGCCTCAGCCTCCTGAAATGCTGGGATTACAGGAGTGAGTCACTACGCCTGGCCTCGTTTCACTTTTAAAATCCACGTTAATGGCAGTTCCTCAAAAAGTTAAACACCTAATGACCACAGGACCCAGGAACAGACCCTTGGTATATCACCAAAAGAACCGAACACAGGAACCCAAACGGGTATGGGTACAAGAATGTTCAGGCATCACCATTCATACCAGCCAAAGGGTGGAAACAGCCAAATGAAATGAACAGATGGATAAACAAAATGTGGTCTGTCCACACAGTAGAGTATGATTCTGTTGTAAAAAGGAAGGAACCACTGACACAGGCTATACCACGCTGAGTGAAAGAAGTCAAACCCCAAAGGCCACACATTGTAGGATTCTGCTTACACGAGATGTCCAGAATAGGCAAATCCAGAGAGACAGAAAGTAGACCTTTGGCTGCCAGGGACTGGGGGAGGCAGAAAGGAGAGACTGCTAGTGGGTATGAGGTTTCTCTCTGGGGTGATGAGAATGTTCTGGAAGAAGACAGAGGTGGTGGTTGCACAACCGTGTGACTATACTAGTTGCCAGCGAACTGTTGTTCACTTAAGATGGCTCATTTTATGTGAATTTCATCTCAGTAAAAAAGAAAAACCCCACGTTCACATTATCTTCTGTTTCATAATGTTTGTCTGCTTTAGCATAAACATTTACCATTTCTACTGACCCGGAAAACTTGCCACATCTATGGCTCCACATGTCTGACCACAGTCCCTTTTCGGCCTGGCACAGTGGGCTCTGCAGAATGGGCAGGGTGGAGGTGCCCCCGCTGCAAGCTTAGCAATCATGAAGGTGGCCGGTCAACCAGAGAGTCACACGAACCCTTGCTGGGCAGAGCGACGCCCTGGGAGTGGCCTCCCGAGAGCCAGGCCCAAGAGCTTGGTGGGAACTGGCCTCGGAGCTGGCCGAGCGTCCAAGGGCCCTGGGCAGCGGCAGATTCTCTCAGCACTGTGGTGTTGGAGCTCACCCAGGGGAAATTATTTTCCTGGGGCCTAAATTTAGTCCAGGGAGCTCGGACATTATGTCATTCCCTGAACTCACTCAGCAGTAAACAAGTTCAAAGCAAGGTCAACAGCTGGTGTCCGACCCACCCTGTCCCGGCAGGCAGCGTGCGCCCACCTGGGAAGGCCACGTGGGTCTGTCCCCATGCCCTTTCTATGGGGGAGCCCCTGGCAGTGGCAGGTGAATCCTGTTTGAGAGGGCCCAGGGGCCTGGGGTGGCTGGCGGAGGACCCTGGAGCGGGTTTCTCTGCCCCTGGCTTCTACCACTTTTGCTTTGGGTGGTGGTTATGGAAAGAGGAGCGGTCGTTTGCAGAACGTGGCAGTTATGGACGCATTCGCTCAAAATGTCACTCCTACAGCTGAGCCTGGGCTGGTCCTTTAGAGCAAAGGAGATGCGGACCCCAGACGGGGGAGGAGCAAGCCACAGCCTGAAAGAAATCAGGATGGGAAAGTTGCTGGAACGTGGCTGCAGACCACAGTCCTTTGCCTGCCCCTGGCGGCCTTGGAATCGCTCCTGGCAGAAAGGCGGACAGGCAGCCCCTGAGGCTCTGCTGAACCTTCCCCAGCTCCAGGCACTCTGCTGACCTCTCCTCTCCTTGGCTCCTTGCAGCGACCTGACCCCGGAGGCAACTCCTATTTGTCCCATTTTATGAACAGGAAAACAGAAAGGTACAAAGGAGGTGGCACTGTTTGCTCAAGGCCACACGGCAAGTGTGGGCCGGTACGTGACCATGGCCTCGTCCCACCCCCTCTGCCTTCTACCTGCAGAGTCACCTGCCCAGGACTGCGCCGGAAGCCTGATGGGTGGGTGTGCCATAACTGTGGGAGACGCCGAGGGGAACGAGAGGGGATGCCACATATCCACAAGGCTATGGCAAAGCCACCAGGCCACTAGCTCTCAACTGGGGGCAGCTTTGCCCGCCCCCACCCTGAAGACACTGAGCAACGTCTGAAACTGTGTTTTGGTTTTTTTTTTTTGAGTTGGAGTCTCACTCTGTCGCCCAGACTGGAGTGCAGTGGCTGCTCCCAGCCACCACAGCCTCGACCTGCTGGGCTCCGGCGATCCTTCTGCCTCAGGCTTCTGAGTAGCCGGAACTACAGGCACGCGCTACCATGCCCGGCTACTTTTTTGATTTATTGTAGAGATGAGGCCTCGCCAAGTTGCCCAGGCGGGTCTCGAACCCACGGGCTCAGGCTATCCACTCACCTTGGCCTCCCAAAGCGTGGGATTACAGGCTGAGCCACCAAACCCAGCCGTTTTTTTTTAAGAGACAGAGTTTTGCTCTCCCCCCTGGCTGGAGTGCAGTGTCGCCGCGATCATGGCTCATCGCAGCCTCGACCACCTGGGCTCAAGCGATCTTCCTGCCTCAGCCTCCTGAGTAACTGGGACTACAAGCACAGGCCACCATGCCTGGCTAATTTTTTATTTTTTTGTAGAGACAAAGGATTCTCACTCTGTTGCCCAGGCTGGTGTTAAACTCC